CAACACCAGTATCTCTGCCCGAAACGACTCGCGAAACGACAGAAGAAGTTTCTTGGACAACATCGGGAGAAACTATTGCTACAACGCCAGTTAGTGAGGCCACAATTACAGAACACACAGATGTTCCCCAGAAGACTACAGAAGAATCTACAATTACTACTGCTGGCGAAACAACTGCCGGCGATGCCCATATAACCACTGATATCACAGCTGAGACGGAAAGCACTCCGACAACCGAAGAGATATCCAGTGTAGAGTATTCTACAGCTTCGAATCCAACGGATGGGACAACTGATATCTCGCCGGACAATTATGCTTCAACCACGAATTATCCGACACAAACCACAGGAGAAGAATCTACACTTAGTACCGCCGCAGAGACGACGACCCAGACTGTTTCTGTTACTTATAATAACACAACAGAGATAGAAAACCCGACTTCAACGACAGAAGTATCCTACAACGCCTCAACCAGTGAAGAGCCTTCAACAACCTCGAACCCCACTGATTTCACAACTGATATTTCCACGGGCAGCAAAGATACAACCACAGAGCAGACTACTTTTTCAACCGTTACTAAACCAACAGAGACAGAAACCACGCCATCGACGACGGAGATGACCACTGAAAATTCAACAACCACTACAACGTCATCATATGGAACTACGAAATCTACAACCACTGAAGAAACAACTCCATTGTTAACCTCAACTTCGACCGAAACATCAAATGGAACAACCGCTATAACCCCACAAGCATGCGAAACTTTGCCAACCGGCACATTCCTGCCCGATCCCGATCACTGTAGTCGTTATTATGTTTGCACATTCGGTCGAGCCATATTGATGCATTGTCCACACCCACTTTGGTTCGATACCAGGTTAAATGTGTGCAACTATCCAGAAAATGTTACGTGTGCAGCAAATAAAGACTGATCCTTCGTAAATTTCATACACAGGCAGCCATTTCACTATATGTATGTATATGCTTTTAAATTTTAGCAATGTGATAATTTAATATTAAATATAAACCACATAAAGAGAAATATATATGTATGTATATGTATGTATGTATGTACATATGTATGTATATGTATGTATGTATGTACATATGTATGCATATATTTAATACTTCTATATTGGCAGTAACCTATCTGCGCAATGT